ATCCAAGATAACTGAACACAGATCCCCATAAGTTTAAAAGCTTGAATTATTGTAAGAATTACCACGGTGTGATACAGAGACCTGCAGTGAGCAAATGCTATTTGAAAAACGGCGCTGATAGAATGGCCAGATGCAGGGTTGCCACAAACCTTCATTTGTACGCACAAAAAATGCAATATCTGCAAAGGGCAGCAAATCAGAGAACAAGTAAAGAAGGTTCACTTGTGTAACCCTGTATAGGTTTAAGATGCTCAGCATGATTTGATAATGATACATTGTGAAATGATTGCCAGTTTTTTTTTTAAATCTCTTCACTCACATAGTTACCAAATTCTTTTCCTTGTGATCAGAACATTCAAGACCTTCTTCCTTAGCAACTTGCCAAGGTAATCACCCCTTGATATCAAAAGAGGATTGGTTCCACATCCACCCCCCTCCTCCGCAATTAAAAATCTGAGTGCTCAAGACTCATACAATAGAGCATAGCATTGCTGGCCCTCTGCATCCAAGGACGCTGATGCAGAACTATTGGATCCAGAGTGTCGACTGAATACAGTACAACATCACTAATTATAGTCACCATGCTGTAGACACTGGGCTTCCCTGGTGGCTAAGCCATAAAGGATCTGCCTGCAATGAAGGAGACCTGGGTTTAATCCCTGGGTTGAGAAGATTCCCCTGGAGGAGGAAATGGCAACCCATTTCAGTATTCTTGCCTGGGAAATCCCACAGACACAGGAGCCTGGCAGGTATAGTCCATGGGGTCACAAGACTTAGCGGCTAACCACCACCGCCGCCACACACATCACATCTTTGTACTTGTTTGTCTTATGCCTGGAGTTTCGTACCTTTTCACCCCCCTCACCCACTTCACCCACCAGCTCTCAGTCCCCACTTCTTACAACCAAACATCTGACTCCTGTTTCTGTGAGTGTGGACATTTGGATTTCACACATATGAGATCACACAGTATTTGTTTCTTCTGTATGACTTACTCACTTAGCATAATTCCTTCAAGGTTGCTGTGTTCTCAGAAATGGCAGGGTTTCCTTATTTCTTGTGGCTGAATAGTACTGCACTGTATATATAAACTGTTATCTTCTTTGTCCATCCCTCAATGGACACTTAAGCCATTTCCAAGTCTTTCTTATTGTAAATAATTCTGAAGTAAACAGAAAGGCGTAGTTATATCTTCCATGTGGTGGTTTCATGTTCTTCAAATATATATCCAGATAGAATTGCTGGATCATATTGTGGTTCTGTTTTAATTTTTTGAGGAAAATCCATGCTGTTTCTCATGGTATCTGTATGAGTTTACTCTAGATCTTAACATTTTAAAAGAATCAAAAGACATGTCCTTCAAATATATATCCAGATAGAATTGCTGGATCATATTGTGGTTCTGTTTTAATTTTTTGAGGAAAATCCATGCTGTTTCTCATGGTATCTGTATGAGTTTACTCTAGATCTTAACATTTTAAAAGAATCAAAAGATAAAGGGATGCATGGATTTATGGAAACTATTTAGTTTGTCTGTACTACAGGAGTGGTCAAATTATTCCAGTAAGTGGTGGATGGAGTGCTAAACTCTGTTTCCCTACAAGGTAAGGTAAAAAGACAGCATCAGAGATGAACAGAGTTAAGTACATAAATTAAATTCCAGAAGTCCAGTTAGAAAATGAACAGTTAAGAAAATCTGCATTTTTCAGTAAGTCACTGAACTATGAAACAAAGGATTCTTTTAAACACACATTTTTCTAATATCGCAATTTAAAATGTTGCTCTGAGATGGGACCTTTAAAAAGGTAACAATTCTGAGTGTTCAATTTCAAAAATGCTTCATTTACCCCTCACTTGAAGGAAATCATGTATTTTGGTTATTGTCTCCTAAGTAACTAAAACTCACATCATATTTTTTGGTGACAACAGACAGCTTTCTAAAATTTATTATTCAATTCCAGTATTGTCCAAAGAAATATAATGCAAGTTACAAAGGGAATTTTGAATTTTCTAGAAGCCACATTAAAAAAAATGAAAAGAAGCAGGAAAATTAATTTTCATATGTTTTACTTAACCCCTGTGCACTCAAGCTCAGTTACGGAGGATGAGCCGGCTTTGACATTCGCAGCGGCCGCTCACGACACTGACTCTGGAGCCGGAAAACGCAGCTCCGCTCCTGCTCAGGAAACTGACTGCAAGAGACAGACTGCAGCCGAACGCGGGCCCGTCGGCCACGTACAGCGGGCCTGCCCAGCAAACCCTCGGGGCGGCCCCCTCATGGGAGAGCTAACCGGGTTAATGCTGGAGACTGTATTATTCCCCTGGTGGGAGAGGCTTCACTGTGAACCGGCGCTGTCCTAGCACAGAACTTGTTAATGGCCGTGTCCTCAGGACTATTGTGGAGAGCGAGTCAACAGTTAGGCTCTCAAGGAATCCTCCAACGCCGCTGTATTCTTTTATTTTTTGAAGCAATACTTTTTTCTGTTATAAGGAAATGCTTCTCTTTAAGCAGAATTTTAAATAGAAATCTAATGTTTGGCAAAGATGAATGCATGCATGCTAAGCTGCTTCATTCGTGTTAAACTCTTTGCAATCCCATAGACTGTAGCCCACCAGGCTCCTCTGTTCATGGGGATTCTCCAGGCAAGAACACTGGAGTGGGTTGCCATGCCCTCCTCCAGGGGATCTTCCTGGCCCAGGGATTGAATCCATGTCTCTTAACGTCTCCTGCATTGGCAGGAAGGTTCTTTAACAACTAGCACCACTTGGGAAGCTCTTGACAAAGATAAATAAGTATTAATATAACTTAAACAGCTCGTTTGATATAACAAAGAACCTGATTAAAACAATAAAGAGGATTAAAATGTGAGCTAATTACAGTTATGTTAAATTACCTTCAGCATTCCTTAAGTCAACTTCAAGTGTTTACAGACACTTGAAGCTCATGGCCTGTCTGAAAACTCTTTCCTTGTTGGCTTTAGCCTGGAAGGAATCCTTAAGAGAACCGGGCAGAAACACAGGGCTGGCTAGGCCCACACTACCATTCTAGGTGGGATGCTTTATCTTCACCTTTTCCCCTGTGATGAAAGACACCACTGTGCTTTTACTGAGAAGTTGCCCTTCTTACTAGCCTTTGTAGAATCTGCTCCCAGAGTTGTGACTATAACCTAAGGCAGCACCACACTTCGCAGTAAAACATTATGTAAAACTCCCCTCCTCTCTTCCCAGCTATGTGGACACACATTCTGGTCCCCCAGAAAGAACTTCTAATTCACTTCATTCAGAGACAGAAAATAGAGGGGGGTTACACATCTTAAGGTGATGCCTTTCATGATTTCCCCAAACCGATGGATTTTTGTTGGTGGTGGATTTTATTATATACTAAAAATATCCTGGTCAAGGAATGCCTTCGCTGAATTAATATTTACAAGTTGAAATTGAATTTCTTCACAAAATTAAGTAAAATGTATTATGATTTCTATAAAAAAAAACCCCAAGTGAATATAAAATGAATAGATTCTGTTATTATTTCTCACTGGGCTAAAAAATTCCCCCATGTTTTGGATTCACAGCTCCTAGAAGGCAGAGGAGTTAATCTGATGGCTAACTCTGTTGTCAACAGTTACCCTAAGTAAGTAAGGAAGTATTAGTCGCTCAGTCATGCCCGACTCTTTGTGGCCACGTGGACTGCAGCCCACCAGGCTCCTCTGTCCATAAGATTTTCCAGGCAAGGATACTGGAGTGGGTTGCCATTTCCTTCTCTAGGGGATCGTCCCAACCCAGGGATCGAACCCAGGTCTCCTGCACCACAGTCAGATTCTTTACTGACTGAGCTACAAGGCTCCTAAGTCAAAGCAAAACATGTGAGTGCATGTTATTTAACACTAAAGCAGGGAAGGTAGGAGAAAACATCAATAATCTAGCAAAGGGAACAGGAAACCAGGTATCCCTTGGATATCCACTGCCAAATTAGCTTAGTATCAACAGCTAAATATTCATTGAACATCTCTGAAAAAAATGCAACAGAAAAGAGATACTTTTTAATGGTAAAAGCAAACTTCTCTCTCATCTCTTCTCAGAGAGAAATAAAATTTCCTTGTCTGTAGCTCTTACCTGTTAGGTATGTGTTGAACAGAAGGGGAAAGTGCTCAATGAAATAGTGATGTTACAAAAAAATGAAGCAAGGGTGGCATAAAAAAGGGATAAAATCAATGAGGGAGGAGAAGGGAAGTAAGCTGACAATTAAGCCTATAAATTATCGCTCTCCTGATTCTCGTTAGAAACCTGAAACATGAATTTATTTGGTGCAAGAAACTACTTTACCTTCAAAGTCTTATAGATCATTCAGCAGATAAATGGATTGTAAATTTGTGTACAATCTGTTTACCCATGAAACCACTTAGCCTCAAGTGAGTAATATAAATTTTTTTCTCAGAATGAGACAGTAGGAGGAGAAATGGTCCTGGCCTCTATCACCTTAGATTTTGAGGCAACGCACAGAGCAAGTATTAATTCCACGTAATATTGTCTCTGAAATCGATTTTTATGACGTCACACATTTTGAGATGGATCTTTTGCGTTGAAGACAGTTTCTTCCTGTGCCATAGTGGTTTCCACCTATATAGCTTATAATATAACCTTTCCTTTTCCTGAAATGGATCTAAATTTTGTACATGTGCTCTCTCAACTAATCAAAAAATCCTTGTTATTAGTTTCTGTTTAAATTTTTTTGAAAAGTTTTTTGACTGCTCAAGAAGAGTGAGCCAAGTAGAAAAAAGTTCCAAATAATTTGATCGTTCAAGTTTTTGCTGCATAGCTTATACTCCCACTGCCTGAATTGGATTTATTGAATCCAAAAAACTTTAGGAAAGCTCATTTAAGCAGACAGCTTAAAAACTACAAAGTTTCTGGATGAGTCATTATGTATATAACATTAAAATCATTTTAAGTTATAATGAATAAGGGACTCCAATCAAAACGGTGAAATAGGTATAGCTCACCTCCTTCCTCGGACACATCGAAAATATATCTCCACGCGGAACAGTCCTCACAGAATGCCTCTTAAAATGCTGACAGGAAATCTCAGATACCTAAAAGTACAAAAAAGAGCTCCACCTAACTGGGTGGCATGAAAAAACAAAATAAAAAGGAGGCAGAAAGGAAATTGCCTGCACGCATGCGAGGGAGCTGTAAGAGGGAAGGTTCCTGCACCCTGTGAAGTCCCTTCACTGGCTGGGGCAGAAAGGGAGCTTCGAAGACTCATAGGAGAGCGCACCAGTCAGTCTTCGGCAGGCAAACCAGACTTGCACTGACCGTCCATGCCACGGCCCTGTGCTCCCCAGCCTGAGACCTGCATCCACTGATGCAAGCGGGGCCTGGGCGCTGAAGCTCTGGAGGACAGACCCAGGGAGAGGACGAGGGCGGGCAGCAGACGTTCCAAAGGGCTGGAGGGTAGGATGGCGGCCACCGGCAGGTGTATATGGAAGAAACCTGGGCCTCCCCCTGGAAGTGAAGCGCCGTCGTCAGGGTCACTGGAATGGAGGGTCAGGGTCTGAAAATAACAGCCGTCTGGTGTGCTCAGAGTGGGTGCGGTGACACCCGGAAAGCCCATTGTTCGTGAGCACAAGTGCAGGGCAGGGAAGGGCCGCCCCAGCAGCCTCTGTCCCACGGAGCTCCCAGCCGACTCTGGACCACCTCTAGGAGACTTCAAGAATGCCAGCAGCAGGGAGGTGCCCACAGGCAGAGGCGGGGATGGAATCAAAGCTGATCCGCAGGGGGTGCTCTTTGAGAACAGAGCTGAAGTCTGAGCCCTCTCTCCACGGCTATGCTATTCGCTGATTTAAGCACTGATGCCTGCTTTGTAAGCTGAGCACCCAGAACCTCCCCGTGGACAACAGGCGCTCTCACAGCCGGGAAAGGCCTGGCCTTAGCATCCAGTGGGTGTGTGCACACGGAGACTGGGCCAGGCCAGCGTCTGGGCTGCTTCCAGAGCTCCCATCCCGCATCCACTTGCCCAGAAGTGGCACTCACACCTGATTTCAGTGCATAGACACTTAGCGATCTGCACTGACGGCCTTGTGAAACCATGCCTGAGGGACAAGACTGATTGCTGGTATCACACCCATGATTGATATGGGGCTGAGGGCGGTGCCAACAGCAGGGTACTTGGTGAGCCCACACATCAGGTGACAGGTGACATCACAGAGTGTGCACCCCTGTGGGCAGAACCACTGGAGGAGTACTGGGCAGCTCATCTCCCAGTGGGCACTCCCCAGTCCCGCCTGTTTCACACCACAGCTCGGAAGCATTTCTGGGGCCTTCCAGTCCAGCAACTAAGGAGCAGACCCCTGCCCCTTGTAACAACCACCGAACAAGGACAAGGTCCTGCTCAATATCTAGCAGAGGCTCTGGCCACCACTATACCAGTCACACACTGTTTCTAGAGAATAAAGGCCAGCACACACTAAGGAAAGAGGTAGCAGTCATCCATAATAAAAACAGCCCTTTCACCAAAAATATTAAACCCACGTAGGCTAGATAAGGATGCATCCATGTAAAAATAGTCCTCCAAGACCACATTCGATCACTGTTTCTGCCAAATTCATAGAGGAAGAAAATTCAAGCAAAATGAGGAAAGAGGAACTACTCCCAATTAAAAGAGCAAAAGAATTGACCGGAAATAACTGACAATGAGACAGACAGAGCCCAGACAGATAAGAGGAGCCCACAAAAATCAGAAAACACATTTACTGGGACAAAAACTGACCTAAAGCCAGTAAATTGAAGATTGAATAATGCAGAAGAATGAATAAGTGATCTGAAAGATAGAAAAATGAAAATTACCCAATCAAAAGAGCAGACAGAGTCAAGTGAAAAACAAACAAAAGCAATATAAAAGACCTATGGGATAACATAAAGTTGGCAACTTATGCAAAATAAGGATTGCAGAAGAGGAAAAAGAAAAGGGGATTGAGATTATATTTGAAGAAATTATGGCTAAAGACTCCCCATACCTATCAAAAGAAGCATATCCTGGTGTACAAAGCACAGAGTGTCCCAAGCAAGATGAATCCCAACAGTTCTACAACAAGCCATGTTACAATTAAAATAGGAAAATTAAAGATAAAGAGAGGATACTACAGGCAGCAAGAGTTAATTAGTTGAACAAAGAGTTAATTACAAAGACTTAAACATAAGATATGTGTGTGTGTTTATGTGTGTGGGTTAGTCACTTAGTTGTATCCAACTCTTTGGGACCCCATGGGCTGTAGCCTACCAGGCTCCTCTGTCCATGGCATTCTCCAGGAAAGAATACTGGAGCGGGCAGCCATTGCCTTCTCAAGGGGATCTTCCCAAACCAGGGATTGAACCTGGGCCTCCTGCATTGTCGGTAGATTCTTTACCATGTGAGCCACCATGGAAGCCCTGAGCAGTCTTAAAAAAAAAAAAAAAACAAACAATTATCTTGAACCACTGAAACATTTCCCAGTAAGCTTGGTGATGTTTCTTCAAAGCTAAAGAGCGTGGGCACATCAGTAACAGTCTACACCCTGGTTTCTCTCAGGGTCGCCCAGGCCCAGCAGCAGCCTCACTGGGGAACTCATTAGAAATGGGGTCTCAGAACTCTAATGCTACTGGTACTGGTGGTAGGATGCTCAGATAATTGTTTGGCTTTAAAAAACTCATTATGATGAGAGACAGTTTGGTTAATGTTTGAGAACTTTTAAGCATTTTGCTGCAGTGCTGTTTTAAACAATGAAGGAGCAAGGGGCAGAAAGCTATTTTGCTTTGCCTCTTTAGAGGTTATTTCTATACAGATCTTTTGGACCTTTAAAAATATATCATCACTTTAATTTTCTCATATACTTCTGTGTATACATAATTAAAAAGTACTGCTGATAGAGAAATCAAATATGCCTATCATGTGTTCTATTAATATAAGATTTAAGATTCATATCAAGGCATTTGTGTATTTTATTTTATTTTTTAAATTTTTTAATTCCTTTTATTTATTTTTCTGCTCTGACTGCTGTGGCGAAAACTTCCAAAACTATATTGAATAGTAGTGGTGAGAGTGGCCACCCTTGTCTTGTTCCTGACTTTAGGGGAAATGCTTTCAATTTTTCACCATTGAGGATGATGTTTGCTGTGGGTTTATCATATATGGCTTTTATTATGTTGAGGTATGTTCCTTCTATAGGGCTTTCTGAAGGGTTTTTATCATAAATGCGTGTTGAATTTTGTCAAAGGCTTTCTCTGCATCTATTGAGATAATCATATGCTTTTATCTTTCAATTTGTTAATGTGGTGTATCACATTGCTGCTGATGCTGTTGCTAAGTTGCTTCAGTCGTGTCTGACTCTGTGCGACCCCACAGACGGCAGCTCACCAGGCTCCTCTGTCCCTGGGATTCTCCAGGCAAGAACACTGGAGTGGGTTGCCATTTCCTTCTCCTCATTTGGGTATTTTAAAAAGATTACCAAACAACATTTTTAAAATTTGAGCTCTAAATGAGTGAAGAAGTTACTTTTATTACATAGTCCAAGCTCACTCATTAATATGAAAATGTGTATATTAAAACCACAAGTAAACTATGAGTTGCAAAAAGCCTTAAAATTATTATTAGTTTGATTTGAAAGCTATTTCCAAGGCATTATAGGGGGAAATTACTAAAAATCATGAATTTCAAAACACCTTATCTTAGTCTATGCTCCATGATTTATTCTAAGTCTTTTGTTAAGTTGTAAATTATTTCATTACAATTTAAGCTTGATTAAAAAACCCTATTCTCCTCAGAAGATATGCATTTATATATATATGTTTAAAATCTAAGTCCCCCTTCTTTTTTTAAATTTATATATAAAAAGAGAGACAATATTAATGAGACGTCTTGTAAATCTTAACCCACTCAGCAACTTAGTTTAACCCCATCAGTTTTACTGCTACCTAGTAAATTAAAACAACATCAGAGGGAAATCAAATAGTGTTGTTTTTAACCCCCAGTTTAGCCTGGATAAATAACAACTCTAAATGAAAAGAAATCAACCAGTGTATTTGAATCAGACACCTATGCAGCTTCCTAAAACTACCTAAGCTATACAGACAAATGAAATTTTCACCATAACAATTTCAGTGACTACAGTTTTCAAGCCTCCACAGCTAACCATTTTAAGTTTAATTTTGGCTATCTGTCCAATCGAGGCAGTAGGGTACATCTAATGCTGCAGCACGTAAACCTCTAGTCCCACAGAAATTTTTCTTATGTCATAACAGCTGAAGTGACCATCATGGTCACTCTTCTTGAGTTGATATTAACAGCAGATAAAGATATATTTAGTGAAGAAATTCTACCCAAATGACATACACATGCACACACATTTTTTTTTAAGTCAGCATGTAAAATAGAGTACAAACAAAACTTCACAGAAGTATGTTAAGAGTGAGAAGGACCAGTAAATTAAAGAAACATGCTTTAATGTACCCTCTCTGTCCGCTCTGCGGAATATTTGTACAGGCAGGCAGTAACTATTCCAACGGCAATAACTACAAGAAACCAGGAAACAAGGGACAGGTAATTGAAAAATCACTGCCAAGATTCAAAATCTAGCAGAAGAAATAAATGTTGGTTAGATTTCCATGGTCAGAAAATGATATTTTATTTAAGCATGTACACATTTTTATTCTGTTTTGTCTCTTCACTATCTGAATCCAATTCTCTGGAATCACTTACATAGTTCATAGTAAGTCAGAGAAGTCCTTGATTAATTTAAATAATGACCCATAGCATATTTGGGGTGTAAACTCATATGGCTATGCATCTTGAAACAACATGTATTATTTAGCGTTTGTTAGTAAGTGAACATACAGAATATAAAAGAATATATAAAAAAGATAATGTATTACATGAAAATTTAAGTTTTCCTAAACTGGTTTACTTAATTTAACACTATTAAAACTAAAGAAACTGAAAAAATCACTAAAAAATTAATGCACTTCTTCAGAGTGATATCTTGATTTAAATGGTATCAAAGTTTGGAATACTTACGCACAGAAAGAATAATCACACCAATGACTGCTGCATCTGGGAAAAACAAAAACACTTTGACGATAATTGAGCACATAGGTGTCTCCAAATAGCTGCTGCATCTTAATGTGTGGATCAGCTATAATCACAGCAGAGAAAAAATTATCAATCTAGTTTTAGCATGACTGCAACTGCATCCATGTCATTCTGACCACAGAACCTTTCAAAATAGATTCCTTTTGAAATTCTCAACAAGAACCTCACATTTTAACACTGTGCTGTAACTACCATCCTAAGTTATTTAGTAAGGTAGCTGGAACAATTAGAATTCAGTAGATTAGGAGAAAATTGTTTTAAAACATTTTATCCAATTATAGTTCAGTATTAAGTCTATTCCTTATGTTTTTGTTAGGAATTCTCCATACTTTTCCCCCAAAGTGTGATTGTTTAATAAATCATAATGAAGTTTTATAAATCTATCAAACATATGCTTTTTGCCATCTTCACAAACAATAGCTTTATCTTGTCATCACCCCCTCTTTATTTCCCTGTCCCCTGAATTAAGATACAGTCCTAATTATAAGGAGATTTTCTCTAATAATGCAAATGAAACATCAGGGCACATGGATAAAAGTTATACACAGAAATGTAAACATGCATTTTTAAAAAACTATCCAGAGAACAATAAATGTACCGCCAAATGCAAATTCTCAGAAATGTCTGAGTAGCACCACTGCTTCTAAACTACTGTTATTTGTATTATCTAAAACTCAGACCATAAAATGTCATGTTAGGTCCTGCTCTTTTTATTCCATAAATAATTTGAAGTATCAGCATCTGAAATAGAAGATATGAAGAGGTAGCAAGAATACACACAAGAACTATAAAAAAAGATGCCAATGACCCGGAAAACCACAGTAGTGTGATCACTGACCTAGAGCCAGACATCCTGGAGTCAAGTGGGCCTGAGGAAGTATCACTACAAACAAAGCTAGTGGAGGTGATGGAATTCCAGTTGAGCTATTTCAAATCCTGAAAGATGATGCTGTGAAAGGACTGCACTCAATATGCCAGCAAATTTGGAAANAAAATCACTGTGGACAGTGACTGCATCCATGAAGTTAGACACTTGCTCTTTGAAAGTAAATCAATGACAAAGGTAGACAGCATATTAAAAAGTAGTGACATTACTTTGCCTACAAAGGTCTGTCTATCAAAGCTATGGTTTTCCCAGTAGTCATGTATGGATGTGAGAGCTGGACAATAAAAAGGCTGAGTGCCTAAATTTGATGCCTTCAAACTGTGGTGCTGGAGAAGACTCTTGAGAGTCCCTTGGACTGCAAGGAGATCCAACCAGTTAATGCAAAGGAAATCAACCCTGAATATTCATTGGAAGGACTGATGCTGAAGCTGAAGCTCCAATACTTTGGCCACCTGATGAAAAGTGCCAACTCATTGGAAAAGACCCTGATGCTGGGAAGGATTGAAGGCAGGAAGAGAAGGGGACGGCAGAGGATGAGACACTTGGATAGCATCACTGACTCAATGGACGTGAGTTTGAGCATACTCCGGGAGATGGTGAAGGACAGGGAAGCCTGGCGTGCTGCCGTCCATGGGGTCACAAAGAGTTGGACATGTCTGAGCGACTGAACAACAGCAAGAGGAGCCTCTGAAGATGGCCCTGAATTTACTTGGCACAGTGGCAGTCGGACCACGGCTTTCAGAGGGGAAAACATACCAAGTCTCAAGTGCATTTTATAAAAAGATTAACCGGACTAAACTAGTCTAATGCAAAGAAAAATAATAGCTATTTCTTTTAATTTTATTATCAAGAAAAATTTATATTTCATTTAACTGTCACCATTACACTTCACTGGGCTCTTAAACATATATTGTGTGAATTATGTGAGAAAAGATGAAGTGTGCAACTCCTGCCTGTTACAGAGAAAGTATTTCACTTGTCCATGAGGCTTGTGTACACAACATAGCAACAGAAAGAAAGTTTATCTACAAATCTCCATCACAAAATAACTCTATCAAATGGTAACAATACATTTTAATGTACACATGACCATAGCATTTAAGAAAGTCACATCATCCCATTGGAAATCCTAAATTGGGACACTTTTTGTAAACTGTGTTATCTGCATGTCTACACATAATGCTACTTAACTAGTCATGGGATTTGCACTATTAAAATAACAATATATGCCAGTAACCACCAATTTGTGACATGATGTTTCTTCTCTAATTACAGATCATTGAAATAGTTTCATGTAGAACACTAGGGTTGCACAATGCAAGGTTATTTATAACCAAAATAATACCGAAGTCCTCAAAGGAGTCAGGCTCTAAGTCAACCGTTGGAGACACATGTGCTGAAAAAAGAAGGAAAAAATGGGTATAAGAAAAAAAGGTAGAAGAAGAAAATTATAAAGGTTAAAAGATCTATAAATTTAAAGGGCTTGATTTGTTTCTAAATTAAATCCCTAGTTTCATTTTCCCCTACATGAATTATATTAATGCTTCTCTTTAAAGCTAGTGTTATAAAATCATAAATTAATATCAAATGTCAAAGCATTCTTCTTCCTATCCATTAACATTTCCTAGGATAACATTTTGTGGTACAGAAAGTAAATTTATCATTAGTATAATGCCAAAATTAGCTATGAATTTTATGTGATTTTACTTAAAATTAAAAGACATAAGATGATTTAAATATCATTTAAAAGTTTATCTGCAATAGAATGAAATTCAACATAATAAAGATCATTTATGAAAAACCCATAACAAAGAGCATACTCAATAGTGCTTTTCTGCTCACTCAGTCACGTCTGACTCTTTGAGACCCCACAGACTGTTGCCCACCAGGTTCCTTGGTCCATGGGATTCTCCAGGCAAGAATACTGGAGTGGGTTGCCATTTCCTTCTCCAGGGGATCTTCCCCACCCGAGGATCAAACCTGTGTCTCCTGCATTCTTTACCTCTGAGCCACATGGGAATACCCATAGTGAAAGTGAAAGTGAAAGTGAAGGTGCTCAGTCGTATCCGACTCTTTGCGAACCCATGGACTGTAGCCTACCAGGCTCCTCCATCCATGGGCTTTTCCAGGCAAGAGTACTGGAGTGGGTTGCCATTTCCTTCTCCATACTCAGAAGTAAAAGATTGATTTTTTTCCTTAAGTCACAATACAGGATGCCCACGTTTGTCATTCCTATTAACATAAAATGATATTTAATTTCTTTTTCTTGCCTAATCAGAGAAATTAGGCAAGAAAAAGCAATAAAAAGCATCCAAATTGGGGAAGAAGAAAAAAGATGATCTTGTTCCACATTAAATAATCTTTTAAGTGGAAAACTCTAAAGATTATATACATATACAAATGCACAAATACACACAGACCTATTAGAAAAATTAATTCAACAAAGTTGGAAGCTATAAAATCAACAAAAATCAGTTGCATTCCTATACACTACTAACGAACAATCTAAAAGTGAAAGTGAAAGTGTAAGTCACTCAGTCGTGTCCGACTCTTTGCGACCCCATGGACTATACAGTCCATGGAATTCTCCAGGCCAGAATACTGGAGTAGGTAGACTTTCCCTTCTCCAGGGGATCTTCCCAACCAAGGGATTGAACCTAGGTCTCCCACATTGCACGTGGGTCCTTTGCCAGCTGAACCACAACAATCAAAAAGAAAATTTTTTTAAAAATCCAATAAAGTAGCATCAAGAAAAATAAAATACAAGAGGAATAAAAGTAACCAAAGAGGTGAAAGACTTGCACACTGAACTACAAAGCATTGCTTAAAGAAATTGAAGAAGACATAAAAATATGAAAGCAAATCCTGCATCCATGGACTGGAAGACAATATTCTTAAGATGTTAATACCATACAAAGCAATATACAGATTAAATGCAACCCTTTGATCATACTGAAAATGCATTTTGCATAAACAGACAAACTAAACCTGTAATTTATATGGAATCTCAAGGGAGTTGAATAGAAAAGAAAATCTCTTGAGAAAGAAATGCAAAGTTGAAAAGACTCACTTTTTCTAAGTTCAGAATTTACTTAAAAAACTACAATAATCAAAACAAAACTGGTAAAATCATAGAGGAAAAACACACAGACTAATACAACAGAATAGAGAGTCCAGACACAACAGGATATATTGTAAAGCACAGGGAAATATAGCTATTATTTTGTAATAACTTTAAATAGAGTATGATCTTTAAAAATAAAAAAATCACTGTTATATACCTGAAAATAATATAATACTGTAAAACAGCTATATTTCAATTAAAAAAAAAAAACCAGAGAGCCCAGAAATAAATTTGCATTTATGTGGTCAAATGACAGTTCACAAGGGTACTAAGAAAATTTAATGGTGAAAAGGCAATCTCTTAAAAAAGGGTTCTTGGAAAACTGGATGTGTGTTAGTCGCTCAGTCATGTCCGACTCTTTGCAACCCCATGGACTATAGCCCACCAGTCTCCTCTGTCTTTGGGATTCTCCAGTCAAGAACACTGGAGTGTGTTGTCATGCCCTTCTCAGGGGATCTTCCTGACACAGGGATCAAACCCAGGGCTCCCACATTGCAGGCAGATTCTACCATCTGGTGATGTCCATGTGTAGAATCCTCTCTTGTGCTGTTGGAAGAGGGTGTTTGCTATGAGCAGTGCATTCTCTTGGCAAAACTCTGTTAGCCTTTGCCCTGCTTCATTTTGTACTCCAAGGCTAAACTTGCCTTTTACTCCAGGTATCTTTTGGCTTCCTACTTTTGCATTCTAATCAAGGACATCTGTTTTTTTGGGTTTTTTTTTTTTGGTGTTGGTTCTAGAAGGTCTTATGGGTCTTCATAGAATTGTTCAGCTTCTTCAGCATTAGTGGTTGGGGCATAGATTGGGATTACCATGATGTTGAATGGTTTGCCTTGGAAACAACTAAGATCATCCTGTCATTTTTTATTAGAGAGAGTAGATCTGGCATATAGAGTCTGGAAGAGGTATGGAAGGAGGTTCCAAACATTGAACAGGAGGTGGTGACCAAAACCTTTCCAAAGCAAAAGAAATGCAAGAAGGCAAAGTCATTGTCTGAGGAGGCTTTACAAATAGCTGAGAAACGAAGAGAAGCAAAAGGCAAAGGAGAAACGTAAAGATACACCCATCTGAATGCAGAGTTCCAGGGAATAGCAAGGAGAAATACGAGAGTTTTCATAAGCAAACAATGCAAAGAAATAGAGGAAAGCAATAGAATGGGAAAGACTCGTCACACTGTTTATTTAATTTCTATGCAGAGTACCTCATGAGAAATGTCTAGCTGGATGAATCACAAGCTGTAATCAAGATTGCTGGGAGAAATATCAACAACCTCAGATGTGCAGATGATACCACTATAATGGCAGACAGTGAAGAGGAACCAGAGAGTCTCTTGATAAGTGTGAAAGAGGAGAGTGAAAAAGCTGGTCTAAAACTCAACATTCAAAAAACTAAGATCATGGCATCTGGTCCCATCTCTTCTCAGCAAATAGTGTCAGATTTTATTTTCTTGGGCTCCAAAATCAGTGCAGATAGTGATTGCACCCATAAAATTAAAAATGCTTGCTCCTTGGAAGGAAAGGTATGACAAACCTAGGCAGTGTATTAAAAAGCAGAGATATCACTTTGCCAACAAAGGCCTGAATAATCAAAACTTTGCCAGTAGTCCTGTATGGATGTGAGAGTTGACCACAAAGAAGGCCATGAAGTGAAAGTTGAAGGTGTTCGTCTCCAGCAGGGAGATTCTTTACAGTCTGAGCCAACAGAGGAGCCCCCAAAGGTTGAGCACCTATGAATTGACGCTTTCAAATTGCGGTAAGACTCTTGAGCATCCCTTACATTGCAAGGACAGCAGACCAGTCCATCCTAAAGGAAACGAACCCTGAATACTCATTGGAAGGACTGATGTTGAAGATGAAGCTCCAATACTTTGGCCACCTGATGTGAAGAGCTGACTCGCTGGAAAAGACCCTGATGCTGGGAAAGACTGAGGAGAAGGGGGCAACAGAAGATGAGACAGTTGGATAGCATCACCGACTCAATGGACATGAATTTGAGCAAGCTCCAGAAGATGGTGAAGGACCGGGAAGCCTGGCATCCTGCTGTCCATGGGGCTGCAAAGAGTCAGACATGACTTGGCAACTGAACAGCAACAAATGGGTGAGAATGACTTGAAAACTAGCATACATGATCTTTACAACTAAAGATATAAAGAAGGAACCAATGTGAGACAGGAAAGAGGACCAGAGACATAGTATAAACAAGACCTATAACCCTGGGGAGTTGACCCTCAAATTGTGGCAATCGTTACAGTTGCAGAAGCTCTCCCCACGGAAGGAGGGGGTCTGAGTTTCACATGGGATTCCCCAGCCTGGGGGTCCTGCACTAGGAAGACAACCCCCGCACCCCGCCTTCCCCGCCCCAGATTGTTTGGCTTTGAAGGCCAGCATGGCATACTTTTGGGAGATCCAGGGAGTTTTAGGAAAGAGAGACTCCACTCTGAAGGGTGCAAACAAAACATCATACACTCGTGTGACCCAGGGCCAAAGCAGCAACTTGAAAAGATCTTGGCTTGGATCTACTTGCTGATCTTGGAGAGGCAGAGGACAACGAGGACTTACTCTGGGGACCAGTGGCTAGCAGCAGCCACTGTTAGGAAACTCATATCACAAAGGCTCTGGTGTTAGTAAGCACAATTTTGAAATCCTCACTCTATCTTATTAGCACCAAGATCATGATATGACCCTTCCCCCAGGAAGGTGGGCACAATGTTCTCAAACTACAGACCGAGCAGTTATTGGAGTGGTAACACAACCCCACCCACAAGCAGGGCAGTGTCATCCTGTATCCTCTGGGACCCATCCTTGCCCTCCAGAGGGCCCAGGACCTGACCCAGTATGCTGCAGTCAGACCCTAGTCCCTGGTTGTCCTCACCAGTGGGCCAGCACGAGTCCAGGAACCCCATGGGCAGCAGCCCCACCAACTGCAGCCTGATTCCAGCTCCAGGAATTGTCAGCCCTTCAGCCAGCTTCCCAAGGTCAGACCCCATCCACCAGTGGGACAACAACAGCTCCAGGACACCCTGACACTATAGTCAGCCACGTCAGGAAATGACCAGCCCACCAGGACCCGCCAGGCCATAGCCCTATGGACCAGGAGGCTGACACCTGCCCCGAGCCCCACAACCTGTTTCCCCAGCTCTACCAACGAGTCAGCCAGTACAAGCCCTGCTACATAAAATCATCTATATCCACCATAGACAGTTAAAAGATGAGCAAAACAAAAATACGTAAAATACAATGGAACAAACATTAAACGTGATGGAATGGAGTAAAAACGCAGGGTTGTTAGAATTAGTTCAAAATTAAGAGTTCAGCAACTAAAATATCCATATGTTGGCTATTTGTAAATCTCATGAGAATCACAAAACAAAACTCTATCATAGATACACCCATAAGAAAGAGTAAGGACTCCAACATAACACTAAATATAGTCATTAAACCACAAGTGAAGAGAGGAAAAGAAGAAAGGAACAAAAATGAACCATAAATTTAAGAGCTAAAATTACGAAACTCTTAAAGAGAACATGGAGGACAGCTTTAGGATGTTGGGTCTGGCAGTGATTTCTTGGATGTGACAGCAAAAGCACAAACAGACACACGGGGTTTCATCAAAACCAAGCACTGCTGTTTAAGAAGGGACACTGTCATCAGAGAGAAAGCGGTCCACAGAATGGGAGGGAACTGTACTACATATCTGATAGGGATTAACCTCCAAAATGTATTATGAGCTTTTAAAAATTGGAAAAAGATCCAATTCAAAACTGGGCAAAGGACTTGGACAGATATTTCTCCAGAGAAGATAGAGAAAAGACCAACAATATGCACATGAAGAGATAATCAATCACTGATAATTGGAGAAATGCAAATAAAAACCACAGTGAGACACTACTTCTCATACATGGTATGGATTTTATCAAAAAACAGGAAACAACAAGTGCGGGCAAAAAAGATGTAGAAATCAGAACTTTTATGCATCACTGGAGGGAACATAAAATAGTGCAGCTGCTGTGGAAGATTCTATGGCTGTTTCTCAAAAAAATAAACATAAGACTACTATATAACCCAGGAATTTTATTCCTAGGTACATAACCACCAAAATTAAAAATAGGGACTCAGATACTTGAATGCCAGTGTTCACAGCAGCATTATTCAGAATATCCAACAGGTGGAAACAAACCAAGGGTCTTTCAACAAATGAATGAATGAAGGAACTGTGGTTTATATCATGGAATATTATTGTTATTAAAGTAATAAAGTTCTGATACATGTTACAAGGTGGATGAACCTTGAAAACATTATGCTAAGTGAAATAAACCAGAAATGATTCCAAGTCTGTGAGGTACCTAGAACAGTGAAATTCATAGACATAGAGAATAGGCAACGGTTAGCCAACCAGTCCATCCTAAAGGAGGTGAGTCCTGGGTGTTCACTGGAAGGACTGATGCTGAAGCTGAAACTCCAATACTTTGGCCAATTTGGTGCTGGGGCAGGAATGGGAAGAATTCAAGGGAACAGAAAGATCAGATCACGCATGAATTTAATGTGTGATAAAAACTGGCACTTTCACAAGCTGGAAAGGAGACGACTTACTCAACAAATGGTGCTGCTTCTCATTGGTGTTGGGACCAGCCCAACAACGAACTGACCTGAGGGAGCAGTGCCGCAGAAGAATAAGGGAAAATAAGACTCAGAAATAAAGTGGGGATCAGGGGGTGGATGCCATTTGCAGGCAAAAGCCCAGATCCTAATCCTTGCATGCCTTTATTGTTAACTTCTACTTCCTTCTACAGATATGCTCTAGAGATATCTGTTCTTTACAATCTCAGATCCCAGATAAACAATGCACAGTCCTCAATGTCAAACCTTCAGGCCTTTCATGACTTTGTTTAGCTAGTGACATCCATTCTCAGCAACTCCCTCAAGGCTCTGGTTACAGGAACAGTCACTAATGGTTTTCCATCACTCACATCAGTACTTCAACATCTTGTTTTCAAGATGTCTTTCCACAATGTACTTTTTACTGCTCCCAACCCTTCATGTGGGAATGATGAGAAAGTCATTTTTATTTTTCAAAGAGGCCCTGTTAGTTATAATACAGGCCTGTGCATAGCACATTCCCTACAATTGGATGAAGGCAGGTGGAATGAGGAGGAGCCCAATCTCATTTCCCATGCCATAAAGAATGTGAGATGAATCAGTGATATAAGGAAACCACACAGTCACATTGTGGAAACATTTATGCAATTTAGCGTGGAAAATATCTGAAACTTTTTTTAAGAGAGACACAACACTCAGTCATTAGGGAAAAGATCAATGCATCCAACTTCCTATTAATGTAAAGATTCTGCACTAATAGATTACCACTGAGATAATAGTTGAGTGAAATATGGTACATATTAAAATCATCATTTAAGAAGATGGGAATAAATCTAACTACAGCTCCAATTCAAGTGGAAAAAGTGCAAATTTCAGAAAAATATGAACAGCATAATGACATTTTTGGATAAAAAAGAAAAAATGCTAAAATATGTATACCTACGGAAATAAGAATGCTGATGTGTAGAAATAGATTAAAAAGACACCCTAACCTCTAAAGATATTAGCTTAGATAATAGATCAGGGAAAGAGGTAGAGAAATAATCTTTTACTTTGTGTGCTTTTGCAATGTTTGCAATTTTATAAATTTATATTAGTATCTACTTATATAATTAAAAGTTGCAGAAAGCAATCTATAGGAAATATAATAAAATCTTAAAAGAAAACTGACTAGTAAAATAAATCAAAGAAAAAAACTAGAAGAAAATTCCACTTCATGTTAAAAGAGCTCAAATAATAAGTTGACCAAAAAAATATTTCAGAAACCACATAGAAAAATGAACAAATTCAGCTTTATTGATAATTTAAAAATGTAAATTAGTATATTACATCATTTTCACTGATCACCTTATAAAATTCTAACCAATGTGAGTAAGATAAAGAGGTACTGAACCTGCATGACTTGATGTTGTAGTTGTAGCTGGACGAAGACCTGGAAAAATTAATTTGATTCAATCCACCCATTTCATCAATACAAAATTATAGATTTAATTTTGATGTTTCATTCTTTAAGATTATTTCACAAAATGAATTACTTCTCAAAATGAAAAATATACATACTTTCCAAACTACGCTATTCTACTTCTGGAAAGTTAACCTAAATGCATATTAACATAAGTACATAAGAATGTATACATAAAAATGTTTACCATAGCTTTGTATTACATAATGGAAATCCTAGCAATTAACAAATAATAAGTCATAAAGATCATGTATTCAGAATAAATATACAATGCTTTAAAAATACCATCCACAAAAAAAAAATACCATCCACATAGTAGCATACTACATATTTTGTATTCTTTCTTTTTCAGCTCATATTTTGCCCACATTTTTTCATATATGCATAATCACATAATCACATCTCCCTGGAAGGGCACAAAATTCCCAGGCGGCACAGTGGTAAATCTATCTGCTAATGCAAGAGACAAAAGAGATGCAGGTTTCCCGGGGTCAGGAAGATGCCCTAGAGAAGGAAATGGCAATCCACTTCGGTATTCTTGCCTAGAAAAATCCATGGACAGAGGAGCCTGGCAGGCTACAGTTAGCAGGGTCACAAAGAGTCAGACATGACTGAGCACACACACACATAATCACATCTACTTTATACCATTATATTTCACTAATGATCCTTTTCATAGTCTTTTTCTAACTGGTGATAAAAACTCATGTTCTGATGATAAAAACTCTAACTCATGTCCTCTCATGAGGAATTTTGATTTTTATATTTTAAAAAAGATCCCTGTAATTTATCTTCTTTATAAACTTGTCCTCACAATTCTGTCTTCTTTTAAACACTAAACTGGATCAGTGTTTTATAAATGCTTGATGAAATGCTTGTAGTCAACTCTTTCAAAAGAGCATATCAACAGTTACCACAGTGCAGATTCCCACTAGGACCATGTGCTTAAACATTGGTGGGTCACTGAGTAAATATATGCAATCTTTATATATCATCCACCAAAAAAAAAAAAAAAAATCTCTTTCCCCACAAAACTTCACAGCACTCACCAAGGTACTCAGTGAGTCTACTCAGTGAGGGTACCAGGTTTATAGTAATTATAAAAAGATGTTCCAGTTACCGTGTTAACATGAATGCTGCTGCTGCTAAGTCGCTTCAGTCGTGTCTGACTCTGCAACCCCATAGACGGCAGCCCACCAGGCTCCCCCGTCCCTGGGATTCTCCAGGCATGAACACAGGAGTGGGCTGCCATCTCCTTCTCCAAGGCATGAAAGTGAAAAGTGAAAGTGAAGTCGCTCAGTCGTGTCTGACTCTTCATGACCCCGTGGACTGCAGCCCACCAGGCTCCTCTGTCCATGGGATTTTCCAGGCAAGAGTACTGCAGTGGGGTGCCATTGCCTTCTCCGGTTAACATGAATAATGCCCCTCAATTCCTCAAAATGGTAGGGCAGGAGGGAAAAAACAAACAAGAAGGCAGTAAGTGGCATTTGTCTGAGTCATTAAACAATGGGGAACTGGAACCTATAGAAACAGTGTTACCTGAGTGAGGCAACGTATGTATTCAGAATAAATACACACTGCTTTATGAGTGAGGTCTGCCCAGGCGAGTGCTGTTCCTACCGCTCTTGTCTCTTGCTTCTGCTGAAACCTAAGAGAAGCCAGCGATAGCAGCCCGGAAATCTGGAAGACAGTTCCTCCCACCACACCAAAGTAGTCTCCCAAGTCTTAGGCAAGAGTAACTGATCAGTCCCTGTCCCTGCCAGAAAACCCCCATTTCATTTCAGTAAGTAAGGACAAATCTTACAAATGTATGTTAGTATACTACTTACATAAGTAAAAGTTATAAAAAGCAATCTATACTCAATAGTATAAAAGCTTACAATTTTATATGACTGACTAGTAAAAATAAGGCAAAGAAAAAACCTAGAAGAAAATTCCACTTCATGTTAAAAGGGTTTTAATGTATATAATGAGTTCTGATAAGTCAACAAGATAATTACTTCTGAAACCACATAGGTAAATGAACAGAGGTGCAAAAATAAGTGAAAGTAGATAAAAAATTCAGCTTCATTGATAATTTAAAAAGCAAAATTAGCACATGATATCATTTTTCACCCATTGCCTTGTTAAGTTCTAACTATGCAGATAGGATAAAGAGGTACTGAACCTGTCGAACTTGACACTGTAGTTGTATTTGGACGAGGACCTGGAAAAATAAATTTAACTCAATTCATCAGTTTCATCAGTACAAAATTATAGAACTGATTTTGATTTTTCAGTTTTTAAACAATTATTTCTAAAAATGAAAAATAAATATATTTTCCAAACTCTGTGTTATTCTACTTCTGGGAAGTTAACCTAAATATACATTTATATAAGTACATAAAATTGTATGCATAAGAATGTTCACTATAGCTTTGTATTATGTAGAAGGTTACAAATAATAAATTATAAAATCCTGTCTTCCCACTCTTTCTCCTGTTCTTGCTTCTGCTGGAACCAAAGAAAAGAAGACAGAGAGAGCAGCTTTGAAGTCAGGAAGACAATTCCTTCCACCGTATCAAAACAGTCTCTCAAGTCTTAGGAAGGGTAGCTGATCCATAATCCCTGTCAGAAAGCCTCCATTTAATTTCAATAAATAAGGACAAATCTTACAAATGTATGTTAGTATACTACTTATGTAATTAAAAGTTATAAAAAGCAATCTATACTCAATAGTATAAAATCTTACAATTTTATACAAGTGACTAGTAAAATAAGACAAAAAACCTAAAAGAAAATTCCACTTCATGTTAAAAGGGCTTTAACTTATAATGAGTTCTGATAAGTTAACAAGAAAAACACTTCTGAAACAATACAGAAAAAATGAACAGAGGTCCAAAAATCAGCAAAAGTAGATTAAAAAATTCAGCTTCATTGATAATTAAAAATGCAAAATTAGCACATGATATCACTTTTCACCCATTGCCTTATTAAGTTCTAAACTATGTAGATAGGATAAAGAGGTACTGAACCTGTTGAACTTGACACTGTAGTTGTATTTGGACGAGGACCTGGAAAAATAAATTTAACTCAATTCATCAGTCTCATCAGTACAAAATATAGAATTAATTTTGATTTTTCATTTTTTAAAAGATTACTTCTCAAAATGAAAAATATACATACTTTGCAAACTCTGTTATTCTACTTCTGGGAAGTTAACCTAAATATGTATGTATATAAGTACATAAAATTGTACGCATAAGAATGTTCACTATAGCTTTGCATTATGTAGAAGGTAACAAATAATAAATCACAAAAATCCTGTCTTCCCACTCTTTCACTTGTCTCTTACTTCTGCTGCAAGCAAAGAGAAGAGACAGCAGTCCAAACAGTCGCTCAAGTCTTAGGAAGAGTAGCTGATCAGTAGCACCTGCCAGAAAGTCTCTATTTCATTTCAGTAAGTAGGGACTTTTCCTGCCCTTCAGTTATTATAAAACTTATTTTCTGCTGCCACACACACACAAAAAGCCCAGTAAAGAGAAAAATAATTGCATGAGTTGGCAGGAGGTGGGGGTGAGGACTAGAAACATCAATCTTGCTCTGAAGACAGCAATTTCTCAGTTAAAATTACACTACTGAAAAAGAATCAAATTCCTTATTGGCAGGGAAATGAAACACATTCCTGGACCCAGATGATACCCTGTACAGGTGTCAACAGATCACTTTTAAAATGAATAAATGATCACTGTTGATGACACAGAAAACATACATGTTAAAAAACAGAAGCCATGGATCTTCCTCTGCATTAATACTAATTACAGTGAAACTGGGCTTTAGGTGAGCTTCCTTTAAGAACTTTCTAGACATCAGGCACTGTGCTAAGTGCTTTAAATGCATCCCATTGTAACTTTACTATTCACAAAGTGAGGGAGGCATTCAATCATCACACATGTACATAAACAAGTTCACACCTATTACCTAACTTTAGACATCTGTTTATGCCTGTGGACTATAGTAAATAATTTTAGACTAAGTACAAAAATGGCTGTAAATACATCCTCCCTCCTTCTATGGCCAAAAATTACAGCAAGTGTAAATCACCAGACATTTAAAGGATTTTGAAAATTCACAAAGAATTTAAAGGATATTGACAAATATGAGCAGGACTTTACGAAACCTGAGGCATGGGTAGTTGAAGGCTTAGTCGTAGCAGCAAGTGGCACTGGAAAACAAAAATATAAACTCATTGAATTACTTGGAATGTATCGCTCTCTGTTCATTTACTTGAATTATGCTTTTCATACTTATTTATGTAAAAATGCAATTGCTTTCATTTACACTGGAAACGTTTCCTATCCATTTTACATGTAAAGATGTAGAACAAGAGAAATTTAAGCATCCGTGATGTACGTAACATCACATTTTAAGAGCCTATAAAAGGACAGAAAAATCAAAACAGCAGCTTTCTTTGTGAATTAGTTGTCATGCATGTAACATGGAAATGGCTACAAGGCAGATATGTGTACTAAGATTGTTTCTTTTCTGTTATTCTGTATCATCGAAATTTATTGTCAAAAAATAAATCTAAAAAAAAAAGGAGAAAGACACCTTCATACCTTGAGCACACGTTGGTATCTCGGGCTCCCAAGCACTGTTTGCGTTACAGACAACTGTGCTGTTGCCATGAAGGGAGAAACCCTGGTTACATTTAAATACAACTTGCATTTTGTAGTAAAATTTTCTTCTAAATCCTGATACTATCATTCCATGTTCAACAACTGGATAGTCACATTTGACCACTGAAAAGTGGAGAAATTCAAAAATTAATGGAAATCTGCTTCACATAGGGGCAAAAATCTAGTACAAAGTAATAATTACCAGTGGGAAGAAAGAAGCAAAGAATGAAAGGCAGGATGTTAATTGAAAAAAAAAGAAAAAAAGACTATTTGTGCATTTGACTTCCAGGGAAACAGATATAGAGGAATCTAATGTTTTTCTACTAAGAACAGACTATTATTATAGTTTATTGGTTTTTCTACATTTTTTTTCCCCCAGTGCTGACAAGTTTTGAAAAGGTCTGACTATCAGATATAAATTCAGGGTAAGTTCAAAAGTTACTTCTGATATTCTTCAACTCTAGGATTTTTTTTAGCTCATGCTGAGACTAATTACATACCTTGCTCTTTTAGAAAGGTAGTAAAGACTTTTGGAGAAGGTAATAGTTGGGCTCAAATTTAAAAGTTTTAAATAAGCGAGTCATGAAAAAAAAAAAACGAAAAAAAAAAAGTTTTCAGATGGCAAAAACACACAGGAATTGGGATGTTCAAGAAACACAAAGGCCAATGTAATTAGGACAGTGATTTCCAAATATTTTGCACTACAATCCAGAGATCAAGAAACAATTTTTAAGTTGTAAAGCAGTATACAAGCATGCAGACCCAAGATAAGGTTTCAAGTTAATACTTAGCCCTCACACCAGTGTGCTCTGCTATTTCCCATCCTACTCTGCTTCTCCAGAAGTAAACTACAGATCATGACACTCTAGCTTGACTTCAGGATCTACAAAAGGTTTTGCAGAACTTGGAAACAAAGCAAAACCAAAAAGCGCTGGACTGGGCAGGGACTTCAAGAGAATATCTTATGAGATTAAATCTGCAATAGATGCAAGTGAAAAAGTGAAACTGACAGTCACTCAGCCTTGTCCGACTCTCTGAGACCCTAGGACTGTAACCCGGCAGGTTCCAACAGACAGGACGTTCTCGGTTGTTCCCAGTGCGGGATGATTATGAGTAAGGATGCTATGAACATTCTCATGGAGGTTTCCACCTGTACATGTTTTCATTTGACTTGGATCACTGAGTGTTAGGCCTTGAAGTGTTAGTCCCTCAGTCGCTTTCAACTCTTTGCGACCCTGTGAAACGTAGCCCACCAGGCACCTCTTTCCACGGGATTCTCCAGGCAAGAATACTGGAGTGAGTTGCCATGCCCTTCTTGAGCAGATCTTCCTGACGCAGGGATCAAACCCTTAAGTGGATGCTTAACTGTATAAAATATTGCTAAATTGTGTTCCAAATGGTCATACCACTTTGCATTCTTAACAGTAATGTATTGGAGTTTCAAATACATCATATCCTTACCAAAACATGGAATTATTAGTTACTCTTTTTAATTTCAGGCATTCTAATAGGTTTCTAGTGGTTTCTCATCATGGTGTTAAATTAGACTTTTGTTATTACTAATGATATTGAGCAACATTTCATATACTACATTGGCATTCACATTTCTTCTTTGGTGAAAAATTCCATTCAAATATGTTCCCCCCCTTTTTTGTAAATTGGGTTGTTTTCTTCATATTGTTTTGAGAGTTCTTTATTTATCATAGCTTGAAGTCCATTCAGAAATGTCCTTGGCATATATTTTATCCCAGTCTCTGGCTCTTTTTTCATTCTCCAATGTGTTTGAGAGCAGCACTTCTGAGATTTTAAGAAGACTGGTTTATTTACTTTTCTTTAAAGGATAATGCTTTTAAGGTTTTCAAAGAAATCTTTGGCTACTCATAAATATTTTCTATCTCTTCCCATAAAGTCTTAGAGTTTAGGTCTTACATTTGAATCTATGATCAAGTATCTTTTCCAATCACAAATCAACAAGAAGAAGAAAACTGGAGAAAAATGCCACATGGAAACCAAAAAACATGTTCTTAAACAGTCAATCATTCACTGAAGAGATCAAAAAGAATATAAAAATATTTTTTAAGAGTAATGAAAATGAAAATGGTGTGTTTCAAATCTGTGTAACACAGGAAAAGCACACTAAGAGAGAAGCTTATAGCCACACAGGTTTACTTCAGGAACAAGAAAAGTCTCAAGTTAACAATCTAAACTTATACCCATAGCAATAAAAGAACAACCCTCCCCACAAAATTTGTACAAGGAAGAAAATAATAAAGAACAGAGTGGAAATAAATGAAATTGAGCTAAAAAACAATGAAGATAAGAGATGGTTCTTTGAAAAGATAAAATTGACAAACACATAGCCACACTCATAAAGAAACAAAATAAAGGATCCAAGTAAATGAAATAGAAAATAGAGGTTACAACCAATACCACAAAAATACAAAGGATCATAGAGAATACTATGAACAATTATACATCCAAAATTGGAAAACCTAGAATAAATGGATAAATTCTCAGAAACATTCACTCTCCCAATACTGAGTCCAGAAGAAATAGAAAATGTGAATATACCGACGACTAGTAATGAAATTGAATCAGTAATCAAATAACTCCAAACAAACAAGGATTACATGGGTTCACAGGTGAATTGCAATAAACATTTAAAGAACAGTTAACTTCTACTTCGAAAGACAGTGTATAGAAATGAATAAAGCGAGCCATCAGTTCAGTTCAGTCACTCAGTCGTGTCCGACTCTTTGCAACCCTATGAATCGCAGCACTCCAGGCCTCCCTGTCCATCATCAACTCCCGGAGTTTACTCAAACTCATGTCCATTGAGTTGGTGATGCCATCAAGCCATCTCATCCTCTGTCATCCCCTTCTCCTGCCTTCAATCTTTCCCAGCATCAGGGTCTTTTTTAATGACTCGGCTCTTCGCATCAGGTGACCAAAGTATTGGAGTTTCAGCTTCAGCATCAGTCCTTCCAATGAATATTCAGGACTGATTTCCTTTAGGATGGACTGGTTGGATCTCCTTGCAGTCCAAGGGACTCTCAAGAGTCTTCTCCAACACCACAGTTCAAAAGCATCAA